ATGTATTGACAAGTGACTTTATCTTTTGAGAATACTGGGAAAAACTATTATTTCTGAATTCTTTGTAATATTTAGTACGTAGTACTACATGGTCGTCCTTTGTGCTTCAGCTGATGTTAGTTTGTGAGCTTATCAGACCTCTGTAGCTCAACCCAGCAACATACTTTCTACAGTTCAATGAGTCCTCTTTACTTTGTAGAATGTACAATGAAAAAATGTCTTGCTGCAGTAAAAACTTTATTAACAACATGAAATTCCTGCCAGTGATCAACATACATACATTTGCTTTGTTTCCAAATGTGTAAAAATAAAGTACAGGCACAAATAAAAGGCACTTTTCTTGGTCTAGCTACTCCTCTGCCTGGTCCGCTCCCTTTCTCTCATATTATCTGATCTCTCTCTGATCCTCTGTGTTGTTCTGTATCCGTACTGAGCAAAATCAATTCAAAAACTCCAGCGGAGTCAGCTGTGGTTGGTCTGTATTACACAACTTAAATCATCAATGTTTCAATGATCTGTTCATCCAAAAATGGTTATCAGCTGTTTCAACCTCTGAGCCACTGTTGTTACAGAAGTAGAGGCTTTATTCTATGATTAAGTGAGTGCAAGCATTTAAATGAGTCAAGAAAGATCCATAATTTTGGCACTGAGTGAGCTTGCATGTAAAGAATATCTAAGCATTTTAGGAACGTGTTAATTGACAGCATATTCTGTGAAAACAACAGACAGTATGTTAATGGTATGGTCCACAACAAATAGATGTTGTGCTAATTGTATTTAGAGTTTTGAAAATGTGATACAGAGAAAAAAGTACAAAGTACAAATCATTTCAGATGTATTTATGAAAATAAATGACACAAAACTACATGCAGTGAGGTTCAGTAATTTCCACATACAGACCTCCTTTCACTGTGAACATGCCCATGCATCCAGACCTGTTTTGAGGTGCAATGTTTAAAAATTATTGATTTATTATTATTACATGAGCACAGTTCAAACACCTTCTACCCCCTTATTTATTTTAAGTGGAAGAAAATATTCTATATATAGCAATCAAGGCCAACTTTAGCTCAGGGTTAGCAGGATAGTCTTGGCTAATCAAACTCACAAACAGCACTTGTGTACTGTTTCTGTCTGCACTGACCCATATGGACAAGTCCCAATCCTATTACAGCCTGTAAGCTGCCAGCTCAGGCCTCAGAGTGAAGAGTCGTACCTTCATGTCAGAGCAAAGAACAAAGTGACAAACAAGAAACCACAGGTTCAGCTCTGAGCTTTCTTAGTGCTCTCAGCCTTCAGAGTTGTTTGTTTTTGTCAGTGCTGGAGAAGGAATAAGCTATATATATGTATGACATGCAAAATGCTCAGAACTGTATCTTTGCACTTAATACTTGAACAGAAATCAGAAATATGAATTCAACTTTCAGGTTGCTGATGAAAGCTTTTCAAGAACTATAATGGTTGCCCACTTTTGAGCCAGGACTGCATCCTTTCTTACTTTCTGTGTTTTTTGTGCTGTACAGCCTCTCTGAGACCTTCAGGCTTCCTGGTACCATGATTTGACTGTAATAAATGAGAGAAGTGGCGCTGCATTGTCCTCAAAGCATCCTGATTTTCCTTACAGCTTGGATTTCTGTCCACAGTTATAAGCTATTTTTACCCCATGAAGGAGAAAACTTTAAACCACTTGTCTATTACAAGAGTTTAAGGTGAGTTATCATAAAATTATACTGAAAATTACAACAAGAGAAAAAAACCTAGCAGTAGTAGGCAGCTGTAGTAGTAGGAGTGACAGGGTGGTGACTCAAATCTGGGTTATTAATCATAAAAATGTGATTTCACTCAACCCATCAGCATCAGAGTAGCGCATGCTTGTGCTGCACATTGCAGCAGATATACTCAGTCCCATACATGTACTAATGCCTGATGCATGATACTGAATATACTCATCCACGCCTGAGGACACTTGGCAAAAAAAAATTGGGTATGACAGCCAGAAATCTATCTTTGCAGAATCAGGATATATTTAGAGGTGATTGAGTGAAACTAGAATAAACAAAACAAAAAAAAAAAAATAAGGAACACAGTGTGATTTAATCAAGGTGATAACTGTGACTGTGACTGTGCAAAGTCTGATCCTGCAGCAGTGTAAAAATAGACGCTGGAGGATAATTTTACTCCAGGTACCTGCAGGTGCAGTTAGGAGTTGCTAAAATAAATAAACCAAACCATAATAAGAATAATATGGAAATAATAAGAAAATCATACTGCAGAGTTTTTTTGTTATTTTGTAACATCCTCTTAAGATCAGTAATATGACACCTCTTTATCTCAGCTACCAGCAGATGCAGCTGTTGCAGCTCTGCACACAACTACCATGATACAACCAGAGAGCAAACTGCGACTTAAAAAGCCAGTCTGCTCCGGCCAGCACCGACCGATAATCTCATTTTAAAATGACTTTGTGGGCAAACTGACCAATTGAACACAATGAACACAAAGAGGACTTAATTATCTAACATGGATGTCTTTAAGTAGATTACAAATGTCTTTTATATGTAAAGTTGTTTTAAAGGGGTTTAGTTACCCATAAGCAGTGGAAATTACTGAAACAAATGATTATTTCTTTTATATGGGAGAAACTCTTTTTCCCATGCCGCTTTAAATATTTTTATTCCGCATACCAGACCTTGTATGTATGATTAGTTTTTACAGTGCTCTGTAGCTGTAATTCCCAAACTCCCAGTCGTCCACAAAGGGTCGCAAAATGAAATATATATATATCTATATATATATCTATATATATATATATTTGGCTGCAGAAAGTTCTTCTCAGTAATATTTTCAGGCTCTCCTCTAATCTTGGAGATGATACCATGGTACACATACCACAGAGGTTAATCCTCCATGCTCTGCAGTCTGGTGAAATACCTCATATTTACTTTCTTCCTCCATTTCAAATAGACCCTGAAATCACATTCCCTCACTTTTCCTCCTCTGTGTTCACCCGCTGCCTCTCTCCTGTCTCCCCCTCAGGTCCCCGCTAATGAACGGGCCAAAGGTTTTGAACTGATGTTTGTTGTATTTATGCCACATTGCACGAGGCACTGTTCGTTAGTCTGCTCACTGTTTACAGGCTTGAACGGCTAATTGGTGCAGTGACACAAATGCGCATTGATATCTGGAGGCCACACACACACACACACACACAGACACACAGACACACAGACACACAGGGACACTGTGTAAGGGACCAAGCAGTGAGGAAACAGCAATGTTGTTGAAAACAATGGGTTTTTATTTACCCAAAAAATGCAAATAGAAACCAAGAATTTATAACTAGGCCTATAGAAGAGGTCAACAACATATAATTATACTCAAATAGCAACCAAACAAAGTGTTAACTGAACAAACCGACCACACACAATGACACAAGAGGGAACATTTATACCAAATAACACACAAGGGGTAAACAAAAAGGACGCCAACTATAACTGAACACAAAGCAAACTAATGAAACCCAAATCCTCCCCATGACGTATCAGCGGTGGTTTGGCCGAATGAGTTGGATGTGGTTGACTGCAAATGAAATTAACCTGTGTAGATGGCAACTAATGAGGTGAGGTGAGTGTGACCTGGGGTGATATTACCCTTGTGTGGCTGTGGCCATCACACACTGGTACCAACAAATCATACCAAGAAAGATGTTACCAGAGGAGCTGCTAAATATCACATTAGGTAGATTACTACTATCAATATTTAGTTATTTAGCATTTACGTACATCATTCAGACTTTTTATTAAATGTATTTGACATCTATGAGTTCAAAAGTTAATTTCCAAAAACAGATAAATGCCATTCTTAAAATTTATAAACCTCTTTAATATAGTAATAACACCAGTTTAATTGATATTCACTACAGTGCACACACAAAAAAACACTGAATAAAAATGGAGATATCTGTTCTTGCAAATGAACCTTTCAGTTACTTTAATAATTAAGACTTTACATACAAAACAAATAATGAGTTTATTAAGCGGATGCACAGATTAAACTACCCAAAAGTAAATAAAGTGAAAATCTGTCTTGATCTGTCCTTCCTCTTCCTCTTCACATGTTATGACTTCTGAGGCTGTACTTTTGAAAATGTTACGTTAATTTTTATTTAAATTTCTCTGTTGTAAAACATCTTCAAAATGGCAGATTTGTGTAACAGCAGATGTTGACTTGATGTTTATTGGCACTGAACCCAGTCTGACCTTTGTTGCAGTGTTGACATTGAAAGAGTTCATCGTCTCTTTACTCAGAAAAGCCAACAGACTCTGTGCTCTCAGTGAATAAGCAGGTTTTGTTGCCATGGTAACAATAGCTTTGAGTTATCTTGCCCTCACCCTCTGTGCTTGACGCCAGATTTATTTTTACAATTTGATTGCATAATGTGATTCTTTTAAGTGTGGCAACTAAAAGAACGGCAGCCACGGCAGCGGCAGTAATGGATTAAGTGAGTTATTGTGCACTTTTATTTTTATATTATGTGCACTGGATAAAGCCCCTTGTGAACGACACAAGGGGCCAAACATCAGTGTGGCACTTGGTGTTAATGACAGGAAGGACACAAAGACAGGTTTTCTATAGAGAATATTAAAATTTATTTTGTTTATATTTTCTTTTGACTGACAAAATATACAGTTAATCTTTTTCACTGCACAGTGAAGTGAAATATATATATTTTCTCATAAAAATATATTTTGATTTAGCTAATACACAAAATAGATATCTGTGCATGTCGGATCAGCAGCTTTGAGGAGAAGAGGTGGAGAAAGAGAGCAAAACAGTGCCGAGATATCACAATAACGGATCTCAAACCCTCTAGTATATACTCTATATAGACTTTTTTTTCCTTTGAGGAAAGTACAAGCTCAAGTCGAGAGCTGCTGGCGACCCTCGTTACAAGGACGATGGAGAATGAGTAGAAAGACGGGCAAATAAAGTGCATGAGAAAAGAGAGAGAACTGGATTTATTTCTTCCAGATCAAACCTCTAAGTCATCAGAAGCTGCCTCCTCTAGAGCATACAAGTACAACAATTTCAGCTGTTTACTCAATAGTTGGAATACATGAGGGAGGATAGAGGGTAATAGCAGAGGGAAAGAGGCCTAAAGAATTCCATATTTCGCCAGGTCGCTGAGCTCCATGTCCCCGAAGGCTTCCCATGGGCAAACCACAGTGATGTCTGTGCCAAGACCCTCCATGCCGGGGATGTCTTCTCCGAATCTGAGTGCATAACACAAAAAAAGATCTGATGAGTACAAACTGAGGGATGCAAGGACCTGAAAGTTTATCTAGAATGGCAAAATAAAGAAAAGATTGTGTGTGTGTGTGTGTGTGTGTGTGTGTGTGTGTGTGTGTGTGTGTGTGTGTGTGTGTGTGTGTGTGTGTGTGTGTGTGTGTGTGTGTGATCTTAAATCCATCTTACCCCTTCTGGCCTGGTTTGGGGGCCTTGCTCTTGAAGGTACGAGCAGCCCTCTGCTTGAATTTGGGAGGTGCCTTCTTGTCGGCGGGAGTTGCAACGGCTACGTCTGCCATTTCAATTAGTTACTGAAAGGGAAAAAGAAGTGAGAACAAGAAATATGAGATCCCTTTAAACTTTTTCTGTTTGCCACTGCTTTGTATTCAGTTAAATTTGGGATTAATATCTTGTACTGTATCTTTCTATATTCTTTCTATATCTGGTCTTAATGCCTTATTAAGTAGTATGTACAGCACTGTGAATGGCCTTGCTGTTAAAAGGTGCTGTACAAATAAACAATGAGATTCCTCTGCCACCCTCAAACAATAACCTCCCTTTTATAGAGAAGTTATCACAGTTCAGTCATTCCCAACTGTGAAATGTCAACACTTTTTAAATTGTATTTCTCATCCTCTTCAGCAAGCTTATCAACATCTAGAGTTCAAATGCATAAAACATTGATAAAAGTGTTGAAAAAGTAAAAAGACCTGAGGGCATTATAGCTAAAGAAATAGAGACCGGGCCTCGAGCGGTACCAACAAATAACTTGTCTCTTCTCAGTAAGAATCTCAAAAAAATACTATAAAGCCATCACTCTGTCTGTCTTTCTCTTCTGTAAGAAAAGCAACAAGTCTGATTACATGCTATCAAAGCCTGAGCTCCCTGTACCAGAGCAGAGAAAATTGCAGTTTCATATTACCTTCTGTTGAAGTCTCGAAGTCCGATGCTTGTCTGTTGAGTCTTGCTTGTTTCTCTCTTGTGAGTTTCCTCTCTGTGTCTAACTGTCCCCCTTTTAAAGTCCTCCGAGCTCCTAATCCCCTCAGATGTTCATTCTGTCATTCTTTCATGTGCCAATTCTACTGTCCTCTTCTGTACCAGCTCAGCCACAAATAGACGGGATAAAGGATAACAAGATTTAAATACAAGGTGTATATCTGTCAACCTGTGAATTAAAAGTTAAATTATATAGATGTCATTTATTGGCAGTGGTGAGTGACAGTAATTAGAATGACTATCAGGCTGAAGCCAAAAAAAATCTGCTGAAACATTGTCTGTGTGTCTATCCGTCACAGCCCACCACATACATCAGTACTTTACCCACACAAACTGCACCATTCTGCATCATGAGATCTTTTCATGGACAACTTCACAATTTGATCATAGTACAAGTAACTAAGTAACAGTTTGTTCTGGTTCAACTGGTTTACTGTGGAAAAAGGCTTCCCAAACAGGTGATAAAGGAAAAGAAAAAGAAAGGGAGTCATTGTCATTTATAATGCTAAATATGAAGAAATACAGTGACTCAGTAGCTTGAAGCCTGAAGCCTTTTAGAAATAATAAATGAATAATATGTTGCCTCATTTTTCTAGATTAGACGGCTCTCTTTCTTTTTGTTTTCAGCATCCACTACATTTAATAAAAGTCTCCAGTATATGTCTGATAGTATTGGATATATTATGTTTTAGTTCACAGTTTTGTGTATTTGCAGTTCATTTACTGCTTTGACTTTTCATTTTTAAACAGATGTTTTTTTTTTACATATTTCTTAATGCATTTGTATTTTATATTTAAAATTCTTAACTTTCAGTTTTTATTTATCTTTTATTTCTCTTACTATGTTTACTGTAATAAACCTGATGCTTTTTCTTCTGTTGACGTACTTGAAAATGTCCCAACATCTCATGAAGCCCAGAGCAGTTTTAGTCATGATGACACAGCCCTTATTGTTCATTATTCACACATCAATATTAAAATGTACTTTGAAGGCCAGCGATCTCATGCCTCTGTGTCCAAACAGAAGGGAGGTTTTGAGTAACTTGGAAAGACCAGCAGTGATGGTCAAATCAAAGATTGGGATGTTCTTTCTATTTGTAAACAAACATGTGTCCTGACATAACCTGCACGAGGATCTGGAGCATGTGATGTAAAGGCAGCGATGCCCTGAGCTGCATGCAGGTGATCAGTTACTTAGTGACAAATAAAGAACACTTAACCCTTCAGCTCTTAATCTTTCGCCTCATGGCATGGACTGAGGTTAGAAAGGGACAATATTGAGACAGTAATAACTTTAATGAACAATTATTAATGTAAGAAGGGAAGTGTTTGCCGGTGGTAAAACATTAAACATACTCATGATTTTGTTAGAGCACTCAATTTTGTCCCCAAATATTTATGTTATTTAACAAATCTTAACTTAACTTAAAAGTGAAAGTTAGTCCATTTTGGCATCATTTTCCAACAGTTTTACATCGTTTTTATAAATTAATTAAGACTCAGATGTTTGTTAAAGATCTGGAAAAACTAGCAAGTGGACATTGAGTAAAGATATTTCTGTCAAATTATTGTCATACAATACAATAATGAACTTTAACTATCCACTGTTTATGTTTTAAAACTCTGCTGTGAGTTGCATTGATTGTTGTTGTAGGATAATAACACATTAGAATAATAATGTATTTATTCTACAATATCCATTAAGCATTCAACTATTTTAAAAATGCACCACTCAGAAAAGAATATATTCAGAATGAGGTCCCAAAACAACTCATGTTATTCAATAAATCCAATTAGTTTTCTCAGAGATGCTTCATTATGTAAAGGTCGCAAAGGTCTTCACATGGCATGACGCACCAGGTGGGACTTTTGAGCCCCCTCCTCAGTCTCACAGAGCAGGGAGGCCAATTAGAGGCTGGGGTGTAAAAAAAACAACTTATGGATGAGCATGTCAGGGGGCTTAGTGGGGTGGAGTATATAAGAAGAACCTGGACAAGCACCAGAAAGACACAAACTGACCAGAGAGAAACTTGACTGAAGCTGAAACTGTGTGACTGCAAAAACAGGTAAGATGAAACTCTCTCCTTCACTCAGCTTTGGCTAACTTTAAATTGTGCTGTGAGGATTAAGGTTAGAGTTGTACATTAGAGCGGTAAATGTGATGAGAAAGGATGACTGTAGATTGATACTGTTAGGTGCACAAGTCGTGGCTGTGATCTTTCAACTTTAGAGTATATTGTATTTTGTAGACAAAAATATTTGCACTTGTGCTGCTGTTGTTAATCAGTTTTGGGAAAAGCTTCAGAAGTCTTCCCAAAGCCAAACCTGCTTGTTTTCTTTGGCTTATTTTCCAGATTATAGCTTTATATTTTGTGGTTTGTGAATTCAGATCCTTGTTTTTATACATTATATTTTCCATCTATTTTACATCCTCTTTTTCTTTTCTCCCTTCACTAAGATGCTTTATAAATACTGTTTGGAAGTATCATATAAGTAAAATATAATCAATAAATTACTCACTTTTTACCTTGTGGAGGTTGTGGACTATCTGGGCATTAACTCCTCAGAAGTCACTTCTTTTAATCTGCAGGTTTAAGACCTGTTTTGCCAGTTTGACCTGTTTTATATTGTTTGGACTCAAATGTTTTATCTTTTTGAGTCTATAAAATAACTGAAGTATTGAAGTTCAGTTCAGTCTTTATTGTCCTGTTTGCCGCACAGAGAAAAGATGTCAGACATTAGTAAACAGAAAAAAAACATTAGCTGGAGTGACACACTGTAAGTGATAACAATCAAACAAGGATTCAACCCATCTCTATTATTAAAATGTTGAATTATGATGTGTGCATTACGTGAAATCATTTAAAAATTATGATCTTGTTGCACCTTCCTTCCTCACTATTATTAAAATGTTGGCTCTCTGTTGGTTTATGTTTTGTAATTGGGCTGCCCTTCTGGCCAAAAATTAGATTTATCTCTCAAGAGAGACCATCGTGGTTTAAGAAGGTTAAAACAATTAAAAAGAGATGTTGTCGCTATGTGCAGGAGATGTGTTGACCCTCACTAGAACATTGCACACACATATTATACAGATTTAGCTGTGGGTAATGAAAAGCAGGGGCATACTGTAACTAAAGTGAAGTTTAAACACTAACTGGTTAACTGAGACTGATGACATTATTTGTTTGTGTGTTCAAAGATGCCATCAGTGAGATAAAAATAAAATTTCTGGTAAAGTCCAGAGTACTGCTGAGCTTCCCTGTAAAATAAGACCTATAGCTGAGATCAGACAAAAGTCAGATCAAAGCAGATTGAAAATTAGCTGTACAGGGCAAAATCTCCTTACACTCTGGGTTTATTACAACGTCAAGACTAACTTTTGAATTAGGTGAACTTAGTGATATTCAGGTCTCATTAACAAGTCTGTAACTTGGCCAAGAATAACCTAATCTTTAAAGCCAAGGTATAAAAATAGACAAAGCTGTTTGTGTAACTGGGTCCTAAGGAGCTGTATGGCAGCTTTAATCTATGATTTGCCCCGACTTGGGGGTGTTATATCAACCAAACACAGTGGGGCTTAGAGAAGGAGGAGAAGAAGGAGGAGGATGTTATCTTACACATAAAGCCTGACTAACTGACTGTTGATTGTTTCTCTCTCAGTACATAAAAGATGGCAGACGAAGCTGTTGCAACTCCCGCCGACAAGAAGGCACCTCCCAAGTTCAAGCAGAGGGCTGCTCGTACCTTCAAGAGCAAGGCCCCTAAACCAGGACAGAAGGGGTAAGCTGGGCTAAAGTTTTCCATTTACCTTACATTGTCTAGTCCAGTCTAGTCTAGTCGAGAAAAATAAATTTATCTGACAGCTAAAATTACTTTACAGATTAAGATTTAACTTAAAAATCATATCATAATCTTATAAAATTATTTTCACATTGTAGTATTGGTACTTAGTAAAGGTTTAGATGACTTCTTTCCATCGCTGAAAGTCACATATCAAATAAAAGAAACCAAGTGAAACATTCCCAGGAAATTAAGACTTGTTTCTTTTTCAGATTCGGAGACGACATCCCCGGCATGGAGGGTCTTGGTACAGACATCACAGTGGTTTGCCCATGGGAAGCCTTCGGGGACATGGAGCTCAGCGATCTGGCAAAATATGGAATTGTGTAGAAACCCTACCGTGTCTTCATCCCGGCTATTTTACCACCCTGCACTGATTTTCCTTTGCCCAGTCCTCCTCTCTCGCCTTGTTCTCCTTCCCTGACCTGATGTCTTTTGTTGTATTAGGCCCATGTAGGTTTTGGGAAATATTGCACAAAAAGAAAACATTATTCCCAAAGCTATTTAAAACAGAAAATTGGTAAATGTTATTTTTTAAAAGTGGGTTTGATCACTGTTATCACAGTATATCAACACTAAACCTTTGATCCACTCCCATGCCCAGCCCCTTTGGAGCTCCCTTTTTATTGTACAGCTGCTTATGAGATATATATATATATATATATATACACATTTTTATTTTTATGAACTATTGGTGTAAACCTGTGAACTATCAAATGGAAGTGAAAGTTGAGTGTGTCAATAAATATTTTCCTCAAAGAAATGCTGTCTTCTTTAAGCACACAGTTTAATTTTGTGGGAATTCATCCTAAGTAAAATAATGGGGGAAAAAAATCTATAACAAATACCAGCAATAATTGCATAATTAAAGCTGCTATAATAAATATTAACAGCCAGGCTAGTTACCATGCTAACACGCTATAGATGGCGATGGTGATAAACGTTTAAGGTGTTAAACATTGGGATGTTAGCATACATAAATGCATAAACAGTAGCAGCTGCCATGACTGTGTAATGTGAAAGGTGTCACTCATCAGCATTTTTCAGCTCGTTTGGATTTTACAGCCTGCAGTTCTATGGTTTTGGTTCTTTATCAATGTGGTATTAAACATTTACACTCTGATAAACAGTGTATGCCAACGCCACCTGCCCGGCATGAAACAACAGACAAAGTAAGCATCTAGCTGGTGATATAATGGAGCATTAAGCTTCTGAAGAGCCAGATTTTCTCTCCGGTGTTGAGGGACACAAAGTAGAGACATACAGTCATTCAGGAGGTGATTAGAAACACAAACCCTTATGTTGTTCCAGATCTGCCGGATGTAAATAAGCAACTGCTGGTATAAGTTTCCATATCAGCCTAAAATATGATATGTTGTGTGTACAGCTTGTTTCCACCAAAGAAATCTGTTCCTGATCAATACTAAAAATATTAAAATCCGCACTGTCTGTGTACAATAATGTGAGAAACATCCATTTTACTAAAATAATAGAACAGAAAAAGAAAACAACCTGAAAGCTTGATCACAACAAAACATTTTTATATAAAACATTTTATATGGACATTCAATAACAAAAAAACATAATGGCAGTCAAGAGGGATAGACATGACAGAGGGAAGAGGACTGGTCATTGAGATAGCAACTATGAAGAACGGCCACATAGTTTACTATAATACAGTGGCAAGAAAACCACGACAGGAAAATGAAGCTGCCACTTGTTCTTTTGTGCGGCAGCCATTTTGTTTGTCAGCAGGCCTTTTTGCCGAACATCACTGTGCTCTTTGTTGTGTTAACTAGCTTCAAACTGCTAGCTGCCGGTCATCCTAACATAGAGTTTAGTGGTAAAGAAGAACGCAACTGGGCTCGGCTGCTCAGGAGTCAAATATGAAAGACACAAGATTCATGCAAAACTTTTTTTTTTTTTTTTAAACTTGACAATTATCGCTCATGCTGGTTTGTCCATGCCTTCAGTGGCTTTGTTAAGTCCATCGTTGTGTATTTTTATGTAGCACTTCTCAAGTTGGGAACCAGAACGTGCTGGGGACTGTTAGTTAGCATCTTTGGCTAGGTTTTCTTTTTTCCCCCCTTATTTTTGTCCAGAGCACATTCGATAGTAACTTGGAGTTATATAATAAGAAATGTTAAATGTCATGAGAAAACCCAACAGCAGCACATTTAATAGGAAAAAAAAAAAACATCTTATTGACCTGCATGTTTTTCCTAGTGTGAGAAATGGAAAACACAACGGTAGCTTAGAAATTAGTTAACGGGTAAAAAAAAACAAAAAACAAAAAACGCCCCATTTAACACACAACTTAGATCATATCCCACAATGACATTTTTACCAAGTTGGAATATTAACCTGCTTAGGTATGAGAGATAACACTTTCAGACATTTTACTAGATATCTTCAATTAAACCTGGAGCGACCGCAATGGCCAAGCTGACAGATTTAACCACTGAAATGTAAGGAGTCCGCTTGAAAACAACAAACAATCAAAATAAACGGAAAACTCAAAAAAAGGAAAGGAACACAGTTGGTTTTTTTTTTACCAAAAGTGCTACAGACCTAATTCATTCCTAATGTCTCAGTCACCTGCATAAATATGGACACAAAAAAGAAAGGGAAAAAAATCCAACTGTTCCTGTATAGTTTGAAATATAATCAGTTGTCATGCTAACGGCTTCCTATGGTCAACCCAAAACAAAACAAAAACAAATAAAACAGTAGCCGGGATTGATTAAACTAAGAGGACAAAAGTTTGGTAGTGTTACACGCATACCTCAGGTACGCTCTCGGCTCAAGATATTTACTCCATAGCAGAAGAAAAAAAACTTTAAATTTACTTTGCACCTTACTGGAGAAGGAACAACACTTACTGATATATATATATAAAAAAAAGTCAAACAGAAGATGAAAAAGAAGTAAATAAAGACAGCAATAGGATTATCAAGGATTATGATAATAACAATAACAAAGATAATATATTTATACATACGGCAGAAAAATGTGCTTTCTACAAATCTTTGGAACAAAAACAAAAGCCAAAAAAAGCCACGTTTTGGAAATATAGAATACAACAGTATAGAAATATGCACAATAGTAAGGTGTTTTGCATTTAAATATTTTCTATTAACTCACCGGCAGAATCTCTCTCTTGCTCAGTAATGGCTGCTGGCAGCATCTCGAACACAATTACCAACTAAAGTATGTTTCAGGAAGACTCATTCAGATGTTGGACTTTGCTCTATAAATGATGGAGCGTGTGGGGAAAATCCAAATGATAAATCTCTACATTAAAGGATCAACAAGTACTTGAACCTCGGGGTTGTGGGTGGATGATTTAGTTTGAATCTAAAGCTAAAATCAATGTTTGAAGTGTAGTACTGAACATTTTGTAGTGTTTGGTGGTGAAATCCTGTGCGTGAGGAGGATGATCTGAGACTATATATATGTGTCACAAAGTCAAAAGGTGGAATATTTATAAACACAAATGCTCATTTTCTGATTTTCAACCCCAAGGTTCACTGTTGAATCTACGTGCCCCGTAACAGCAGCAGTTGCTGCTGAATCAGGCAAAAATAATGGTTCAATAAGAATAGTAATGAGAATAATTACTAATAATAATAATAATAATAATAATAATAATTTGGTAACTTTTTTCTCTAAACTAATTTCTTTGCATATTATAACAATTTTAAGTTTAAAGGTTCACCATTTCCACATACTAAGAAAACTTGAGGTAAGGAACAGCTCTAATAACCCTCCCTCCTTCAGCTTTCGGACGTGATTTCTGTAGCGTTATAAACCGTCACATCATCTCTCCAAGCCGCCATGTTCAGTCTCCCTCTACCAGAACACGGCAAGAATGGAAATCCTCTCTCATTACTATCCACCCACGTTAAAGAGGACTTATAAAAATCCACCAGTGGGTTGTTTGTTTTTTTAAATCATTTTAGTGACTCATCATTCTGGTTCAAAATGTTTTTAGGTGCTCTTTCGAGGCACCTTCCTGCTTCCTACCGCTCCGACGTTTTGTGGGCGCTCTGATTGCTCGTTTCCCTCTCTTTTTCCTTTAATGTTGAGTGTGTGCAGGCCACACAGCACTTTCTCATACATGGTTGACAGCTATTTAAATGTCAGTTATCCACATACAGCCTTTGGAAGAACATCTGGGCTCCATCCCGAGTCTTGTGCTGCTGAGTGCCGAGAGAATAAGAAGGGGGGGGGGGGGAGACTATAATACAGCCGTGCAATAGGGAAGGTGGCCATTTTGAGTCTTTATATTTTTTTCTTATTTTTTTTATGTAAAGGCCATCCGTCAGTCTTTAATACAGCATTCCTCTATTTCTGTAGTAGCGTATATAAGAAAACGTGGGACTGCTCAGGGGTGGGATCTTGAAATATCTTTGTTGTGGTCGACTCCACACTTCAAAACTGGGTGCAGTCCAACTCCACGACAACAGAGGGAGCTCTTTCAGAGTAAATCAATGGAAGAGAGGAGCTCCTGGGAAATGTAGTGTCTTTAGTAAGGGGCAAATCTACTGTAGCCTCCCCTGTACAGTGTGGCCTGTGAAACAAAAAAAGGCAAAATTTAGTAAATTAAATCTTTTTCTATTCCTCAGCTGATCAGTCTGGTGGTATATTTTTTCCTTATTGTCAATAAATTCCATGAAAAGACTAAAACCAACAATGAATTTATTCTAATAACAAGTATTGTCTGTGAACGTGGGGCCGAGACCCACTGACAGGAAAAGGGAAGTTGTAAAATATTGAGAATATGACTAACACAATGTTGGTTGTGCTCTTTTTATGGGAACTGTTGACAGTAAGATTATCACTTGTCTTATCCTTTGAATGCATGCCAGTATTAAGCTTTAGGGACTTACCATGGCTCCGACACCGTAGGCAGCTGGGGCGAGGGCAGCATGGTAGGGGTCTGCCGTGTAAACTCGGCCGTAGCTAGAAACCACATCAAACATGAGATATTACATTGTATTTTAAAAGAAGAAAAAAAAAGGCACTCTGCTCTAGCACAAGGTGACTCACATACTGTGACTGCAGGAGGAAAGAGGGGTTGTTGTTTTTCAAAATTCACTTGCTGGTCTAAGATTTGTGTAGGACTGAAACCCCAAAACTATATAACTCATGATCTGGAGAGAGTTTCTAGAGAACTAGAGTTCTTTTCCTGTACACTAATGTAAATAACAATATATTTTTAATTAGTCATTTTTCATCATAACTGTGTAGTATCTCTTCATTGCCATTCAGTGCAATAGAGAGTTAAAAGTTACTGTTTTTAAAGCTCTTAAACAGGCTGATCCCTTCTTAAATCCTGGACTTTTAATCCCTAATATTTCAAACTTAAAGGCCATTTTTGTTTTGTGGCATTTGGAATTGAGTGTCCCGATCTATATCTTAGATTTTAAACCTTGCCTTGATACCTGTACAGAAATAGTGTTGATCTTAAAAGTGATTGGAAAAGCACGTTTATTAAATGTGCTTTTTAAATAAAGTAACTACTTAGTGACAGAGGCTGCAGGCAAGTAGGCAACATCTAAAGACACGTCAGAGGAGGCTTCAAGAAGGGCTGGACAGCTCACTCACCTGTCACTGTAAGCCGCCGCTGCAGCCGCTGCTGCTGCAGGAGTTGCTACCGCAGTCGGCTGGGCATAACGATACGCTGCATAGCCACCCTGTGATTTGCCGATGATGGGGGAGAGAGAGGTGGAGGGTAGAGGGCAGAGTGTGTGATAGAGG